TGACTTAGCTTCTTATCTTGCTTAAGCGTTGAACCGTGACAAGGAAAATATTGAAGTTTTTAGTTTTAGTTAAGAACTAATTAGGGGAAGTTTTAATTTCTTAGACAATATTAAATTGAGCTCGTTTACTAAACGAGAAGTTAAATATTAGTTTAATAAGTTCTTTATTAATAAAAGTAAAATTTGAGGGAAGTGATTTACTAAAATAAAGTAATAAAAATTAAATGAAAATGTTATTTTGTCTACTTTTACCGTCTATTTTCAGGAAAGCGACTTCTTCACATTAATAATTTCGGCTCTCATAACAAACAAATGTGAACATTAATCAAAACAATACTGATCATTAAGGAGCAATGCCTTCCTCAGCCTCTAATTATTTTCGTGTTACATTTTTAAAAAAACCTCCAAAAGTTATTGTTGGTCGTTACTCATCTTAGTAATAAGTGTCAAAATGATTTATTTCTTGCTCACTTATTGGGGAGCAGCTTTCTATTTTCTTATTTTCATTTGTTTGGGATGTTAGTTTTCTGTTATGCCTATATATAGACACTAGGAACCTATTCCCAAACAACTTTTTTGTGTGTTGACAGACTCATTTATTTTTGTGAAGTTTCGCAAGTAATCGAGTACCTTCCATGTTAATATTCATGTTAATTCGTAGAGGTATTTTTTGAAAATATTTGTACGTTTATGTCATGTTAAACGACAAGTATATATAATAATATGATATTATAACTAACAGGAGAGTAATTACCCGTCCCATATATACTAATAATAATGGTCTAATTTGTGGTGTAATTAGTATATACTTTACCTTACGTTACATGATGTTATTATGCAGGCTCTGCATTTGACATTTAATTGACGCAATATATCGTGTTAATTAATTGTAACTTACTGCTAAAATATATGTATATTGAGTGAACTGATTACATTAATATGATATAGGTACAAGTTGTGAATTAATTTCATTTTTATATGTATCAAATGTCAAAGTTTTCATGCGAAAAACATGCCAACAGATGAATTCTTTTCATTCAATTTTCACCCAAGAATTTAATGGATATATTTTATATGAATTTACTTATAGTAATATTAAAGACTATTAACGAATCGAAATATAACTTTTCGAAAAATTATAAAGTTCCCAGTCCCAACCTCTTGCTACAAAAAGACAACTTAAGACTAACCTAAATCTTCTTAAACATTAAAAAGCATGGACGCTAAGTTTCATATACAGATGTCAATAAAAAAAAATCTCGTCAATGTAAGTACTAAAAACTTGTCCTTAATTTGACATTGACCTGCTGTTCTATCAATATAAACCTTATTGAAAGACCTTTTGAGGAAATCGCATTCACATTTTAATGGCTTCGACGTCAAAAGTGATGAAGCAATCAGGATATTAATTGATGATTGCCGAAATATTCTTCTTTACACGTGGAATTATGAGACGAGGGTAAAAGAAAAAAGTAATTAAGACCCATTGAATCATGTCATGGCGTTGACACGGTTATGGGGGTATTTCTGTGTGTTCGTGCATCTGTACATGTTTTTATGTAAGATGGCTTCGCATTATACGGTTAAGCTGATGTGACGATGTAAGTAATAATCCGTAATGAATGTATCCCATATATTAATATTTCTTATTTTTATTATGGGAAGAAATGAGTGAAATAATAGCAATAATGTATGTTATTACACAGTATCCTCTTATGTCATTAATTTCTGTATGAAACAAAATATCTGGTCAATAAAGTTTGACAGAAATTATTGTACAGATTTTAAAATAACTCATTTCCCCAAAAAATATCATTAAATAAAAATGTCATAATTAGTACTGGTCACCAATAAGTAAATCATAGAGGGCGCTGCTGTAGTATTAAATCCCCTTATCACACATATCGTGTTGACATACGCCATACATAGCTTTACTTCCCTTTGCCCTACGGACAAAGCTTGAGGCAATTGTTAGTCTCTATAAATATAGATAAATGTTTGTATGTAAGTACCCATATCTGTCAAGTTTCCCGCGAAATATACGAAGACAAGTACATATATTCCATTAAGGAAATATAATACTTTGACATCTTATTCCAACATGTCCTTAACGCCAACTGACAAGGGATTAATTTATTCATTAAATGCTTTTACATACTTCTTGTTTAAATGGATGATAATTAATTTGTATAATTAATTACGTTGTTTTAAAGTTCATTTTTGAACAAAACTTGAATGTGTCTTTTAGTTTAGCCGCATGAGTGAGTGTAGAAAATTGTTTTGTATGTATTTTCTACTACTATTGATGGTCGTAATATCCAATCAATAAACAAAAGAATATCAATATGTATATGCTAATGAATAATTTATTACAATGGGATATTTTCCACTGACCTATATATTCCTAGTATTTTTTTCTTTGGCAATTAAATTCGTTAGTGCATAGTACGTAACTGCCCCGTCTGAGCGCTTTAAAAGCTTATCCGTTCTTTGCAAGCGAGCTGTAAAGACCATCTGCTGCCAACATTTATCAAACAAAAAACTACTCTTTTAATTGTAAATTACGGTTGTAATTGCAGTAAATGATCGTCCACTCAGTGCTAAGCGCGATTATAGCTGCTTTAAATTTAAGAAGGATTCTGCAAAAGATAAGAAGTAAGATGCTTATCGCTTGAATGTAATATTTTTGTTTATTTCCTTGTGAAAGATGAAAGATAATTTCTTTAATCTAAATTACATTACATTTAAAATGTTTGTGTTGATAAAAGGAGTATAATTTACACAACTGTAAAACTGATTTGACTGATTGATGTTGCGATACCTACGACTGAGACGGTTCACTATTCCTGGAACCCATTTAAGGAACGCTATTAAACGCCTGTTTATTTGTGAGCCTTCACAAATCAAATCCTCCCCCCTAAAATATGAAAATGAACTCCAATCATGATATGAAATTAACTAAAACAATACACATTGGTCGCGATTTAAAGTTATTATAACCAGACTAGCCAGACCTATATAAAAGGCTATTAAGTTCAAGCCTGTTAAACACACACCATTCCTAATTATACAATAAGTATGTTTAGGCACGAATATGATAATAATATAGCCACATTACCTCAAATAGTACCTAGTCTGTCTATAGCTAGGTGTCTAGGTATTCCAGGTCACATGACGCACCCACACGTCCACACCCGCAGTAACAACCAATTACTTACACTTTGCACATTATCTTGGAAACATACACTCGTACAAATTAGATTATCCTTACTAATCTATATATGTATATAAAAGAAAGTCGTGTTAGTTATACTATTTATAACTCAAGAACGACTAAATCGATTTGGATGAAAATTGGTGGGGAGATAGCTTAGAACCAGGAGACGGACATAGGATACTTTTTATATATTTTTTTTTTACTTTTACCAAAAATCACGAACGGGAACGGGGAGAAAATGGGATTGCGCGTACGAAGTCGCGGGCAGAAGCTAGTATTATTATAAAGTGTGTTTGTTTGACTTTCTTTCACGGAGCAATTAAACGTTTTGGTTATATGACGTTTGTGTCTGGATATTAATGATTGGTGTTTTATAGCCAATTGCTTTACACTAGGAACAATTAATTCTACCTATTTAGATCTCTTACAGAGCTGGTTGCTCAGCCACCGCGCCAACTGTGCAGTCAATAAATAAATTGATATTAAATTTTGTACTTAAAATAATTCAATTGTAATGATTTAGCGTCTTACGTGATACAGTTGACAAAATTATCCAAATTTTGATTTTATTGTATGTTTCGACATGATTGTATTCTTTTAAATTTAATTTTAAATATTTGTAGCTGGGAACAGCAGAATTTTCAGAGCATTAAGTAATTTATTTCAAAGGTGTTACAAACACCTTTGAAATAAACGTATTATTTCCATATATTTATTTAAAATTCTCTAAAAGTAACATTTTAATACTACTTACAAAATAAAAAGTAATATTAAGTTATTATTACATTTACATGTTATTAATACATTTCTAAACTCTTCGATTAGCATTCAAGCTTACAACCACTTGACAAAAATGGCAATCTTAAACATCTTTTTTTAAATTACGAATAAATATGGTATTTACACATAACATAACATCACGCCTATTATCCCCGAAGGGGTAGGCAGAGGTGCACACAGAGTAACATCCACTTTTCACTATTTATGTTATGAGTCCCATGTAATAGGGGGTGAGCCTATTGCCATATACCGGGCACAATTACAGACTACGTGCTACTACTGTTTACATTTTGTATAAATACATAATATGCGCTAATATTAGTGCATTTTCCAACAGTAACTAAGTGTTGCACTGTCGAGTGGCGACAGGACAAAGTTTCGTGTGACCGGAATTTGTGGACACGACAAGTTTCACTGTGAATACTTCAACCACATCAATGTTCTCCACTTAGTTTTGTTCAGTAAATATTTAGTATGTTTATATGTTACCTAATCTTAGAAATAATTAATAGAGACTGAGATTTTATTTATTCTTTATCATAATGTATCATATTTTTTATATATAACATAACATCACGCCTTTTATCCCCGAAGGGGTAGCCAGAGGTGCACATTATGACACTTAATGTCACTGTACCTACAATGTAACACCCACTTTGCACTATTTATGTTGTGTCCTATGTTGAGTCCCATGTAATAGGGGGTGAGCTTATTGCCATATACCGGGTACAATTCCAGACTCCGTGCTACTACTAAGATTTAAAAAAAACCCAGTAATACTTTGCACGGCCCGGGAATCAAACCCAAGACCTCTTGCTGCAACCATTCGGCCAACGAGGCAGTTTGTGTGAATAATGTAGATAATGTAAATCTTTTTTTTACACGTCATTCTGAACTAAAAGACAGTATTTATAAAGAAATAATTGAACGTTTTAAATAATATTTCCAACATCAATTCTAGAAAAAAGGAAGAAATGTGTGAGAAATTTGCTTTTAAGGTAGAGATTTAAAATTCCCTCTTTCTTTGTTTACAGTCCGACCAGATGAGGTACTACCCGAGCCAACTCTACGCATCATGGCGCGGTCGACGGTGTACAACGTCGGTGAAACCAAAGCCATCTTCTGTAAAGGAGAAAATCTCGTAGAAGTACGTACCTTTTGCATTTTACATAGTAAAGTATTATAATTATCATTAAAATCTAGCTGCTTCACATAAAAACCATTTTTAACCGACTTAAAAATGGAGGGGGTTCTCAATTCGACCATATGTTATGTACTTTTTTTAGATTTTTTCGCCGATATCTTCGTTATTTTTCGATTATTCTTTTTTTTTAATGAGATCCTAGAATGGTCCCATAATAAGGAAATCAGGATCTGACGATGGAAGAGTAAAGAAATCGAGGATAATCAAAAATTGTAGGAGCGATTAGTGTTTTTTTTTTGTTGCTGTTTTAGTAGGCATTTCATAACACTACAACGTGTCATCAATTATGTTATAAGTTCTTTTTGTAATATAGTAGACAAGCTTATGATGTTACATGTCCGGCAATACGAAAATTCAAGTAGTTTCCGAGAATTATCATAGCCCGAAAATCGTAATAATAGGTACTTTGCCTTATAACCTAGAATCTAATTCACGCAGTACCTACTACCTTTGTTCAACAGTCGTGTTTACGATTCTTATACTAATGCAGTATAATTCTATTATAAACAACGTTTAAATAACCGACTTGAAGCCTTTTTCGAAGTTGGTTAATTAATATACTAAAACCTTCTCCTAGCTGTAACAAACGCTTCTGAAAACTGCATCAAAATCGGTTCAGCTAATCGCGAGCTGATTGCGCACAAACATACACATAGGTCAAACTGAGAACCTTTTTTTATCTTGAAGTCAGTTAATAACATATTAGGTACATTTAATAATTATTTCATATTCTTCTTTTAGCCTATTCAATGGTACTCCCCCTCGGGCAAGTTAGTCGAGGAGCGATCTACCAAGAATAGTCGAGTGTTCGTGGAACGGAAGACGGAAGACAATGGAGTCCTAGTGCCCCTCATCATCCATCGCATCAAGATCAGCGATGGAGGCAACTGGACCTGCAAAGCCGGGAACCTGAGTGAAACGAAGGAGTTTATAGTCGGAGGTACGTATGAGCAAAAGAAGAATGTAAGAAAAAAGAGGATAGGATTTTGATACCATACAGACAGGTATTTGACAAAAGGCTCAATTTGGAGTTTTCATTAAGAATTCTTTATACAAAATATCGCAAACTAAAAATAAAAACCAATTTTATGACAGGCACGGACCAAGAGTCCGTGGAGAACAAATACCTACTTATGAATATTGAAAAAAAATTGAAATGCAGAAATCCCTGGTTCAAAACCGAAACCCAAAATATTAACTTTTATACTTTTATTTCAGAAAAAGTAAACATCACCGATAGAAACGTCACTCTCGAGGGAGAGGAGGGAAAATCTGTGAAGTTGACTTGCGAGGCCAACGGCTACCCTCTTCCAGTCGTCGTGTGGTACAAGGATAAGCATCAAATTAGGGGTACGTCCTACATAATAGAAGTTAGCGAGAAAAGGATATGAACATATTATATAGATGAACATATATGTAGATATTTAAGTGTGGGAGAGCCATGCTTCGGCACGAGTGGACCGGCTCGACCGGAGTGATATCACGGCCTCACGGAAAAACGAAGTGAAACAACGCTTGCGTTGTGTTTCATCGTGTGAGTAAAGTTACCGTAGGCCCAATTAACCCCCCCCCCCATCTCCCCAATTCCTAAATTCTCAAAAATCGTTGAATTCCTAATCCCCAAAAGGCAGGTAGCGCAATTGTAACGCCTCTGGTGTTGCGGGTGTCGATGGGCGACACCGATTACTTACCATCAGGTGATCCGTCAGCTCATTGTTTACCGGCTTATGCCTTAAAAAAATGTCTGCCATAATTTTAAACTTCGTATAGTTAACAAGATTTTCCAAAATTATCTTGTGGAACGTGAAAATAGAAACCAAGCAACCAATCAAAAAACACTATCTAACAACTTCCACAAACTTAACCAATAAACTTACAAATACATTTTAGGAATGAACATTAATATGACCAATTTTCTAATTTCAGATAAGGAAGACCCCAAGAAGTACACCATCAAGCCAGACAACACCTTAGAGATCAAGAAATTGAACCACGCCGACGTTGGCCTTTATGTGTGCAAAGTGAGACAAAAGGCTCTGTCACACTACACTGAGAAGACTGTTCATCTGTCTGTTCAACGTAAGACTTTATTTTCCTACTCATACAATGTCGATTTTAAAACCGTCTAAACAGAAATAGGTTAATTGCAAAATTAGTTTTCGACCAATATCTTATGAAAATGTTGGACCATTTTTGCAACGTAGACGTTCTCACTAGATATTGAATTCATCCTGTAGTATACTAATATACCTACTATACTAATCACATTTTAAAAGTTCACTAAAACCTAGCTTCACCTAGCTTCACTGACGGACTGACTGACAGACTATTATTTATTGTGTTGACATGTGTTGACGTTTCAAAAGTACCAAATTATAGTTTAATTGAAATAAATACTTTGACTTTGACTTTAACACTGTTTTTATTTCACTTGCAAAATGTTGTTTTCAGATAAACCAATTTTGTACAACAGTGATACACAGATGATTTACACAAACACAAAATACAAGACTGAAGAGGTTTACGCAATTTTGGGTGACACGTAAGTATAACAACTAAAGTAAAAACGTTTATCAACTATAAAAACGTTTATATATATCTTATGCAATTTAGACTAGAATTAACAATTATTTTATTATGTTTCCAGCAAAAACGTGACTTGCAGTGCCATTGCAAACCCACCTCCTACCTACAAGTGGTTCAAAAGGAACAACGGTTACGATGACGATGCCATCACGGACTCTGATACGGTAATAGCAATAACGTAATTACACAAACATGAAAAATATTTTCTCTTTTAAAGTATTATTCAAGACAACTTGACTTTTCTTATTCGATTGCAAAAATGACATCGAAGTAAAACTAATTTTATTTCACTCAACTTTAGCTCAAGTCAAGTAAATATTTGGAATCGTTAAATTAAAAAAAAAATCGGTTTGTTTTTCAGTACTGAATGTAAAATTTGATCATTTTTATTTGCAGGTGATCACTTCCGAAGATGGAACCAACTCCGTGCTTGTATTAAGAATTCGAGACGAATCCTACTATGGTGAATACAGGTGTTCTGCAACTAATGACAAGGGTTCCGAATCCATCATCTTCCACGTGAACCCTGGCTCCAAGCCTCTACCACCAGATACCGTAAGTCGGAGCTATAATACCAACAGATCCTGGTCCTTAGAAAATCGTACTAGACAGTATTAACACGCCAAAACTTATTAGATAGCTTTACTTTAAATGAAATGGGACACAAACTAAATTGTAACTTTTCAAATCTATTAATTCTACACACTTTCAAACACAGGTCCAACTGGCAGGGGCTAACACAACCAGTCTAACCTTCAACGTCACCTGCTCATCCTGCAACTTTGCTACTCCAGATGAAGTGCCCGAATCACCCGACCCGAAAAACCTCACTGTTATTGGTAAATATATATTTTCAGTATTACTAAGACACTTTAAATTCTAAGTTTTTTATAGAGTAACATAAAATAAAATAAAAATAAAGAATTACACTAAAAGCTTGATAGAGGTCCGAGGAAGTTAATAACGAAATGGAAAAAAATTACTTGATATAGGAACGATAACGAGGAAAGTGAAAATACTTATCTCATTATTTCAGGCTACATTTTCCAGCTTGCTCCTCTTAAGCAAGGTTATCCAGCTGACTGGGATGGTGCACCCGAATTCCGTGTTGACATCGAAAGCGCTAACAGTGAGTTTCTTTTTAATTTTCTCAAAAACAACGACAGCCTTTTGCAAATAACAGATTCAAGTTCTGATAATGTGCGGTGCTGATTAAATCTCCAAAATCTTGGAATGAATACCAAATAACATTCTTCACTTTCAAATATTAATATAATTGAAATGTATAGTTCTTTAATTTTCATTTTTTCTTTTTCAGATACTCTGTTCACGTTAGGACCTCTATCAAACAGCACAGTATTCCACGTTCGTGTGCGTACGCGCAACGCCGCTGGTAACTCTGAATGGTTGGAAGCAGGGAATGCAGCGACCACTGATGACGCTATCAGGCTCGCTGCCAGTTTACTCCTCATCACCGTGACCATATGCATGCGTATCTTTGGTCCTTTTTAAAAAACAGCTTTGTTTGAAGTGGGGATATTTCTTTAAAGTATATGTATAAAATGGTCTGTTGTGATTCGCTGGCTTAAGTTTAGTTTCGGATGGATGCCGACAATTTTGTGACATTTGTGTGCGTATAGTTCAATGTTAATGTTACGTTTATCACATAAGAAATATTTACTGTATGTTGAATCACAGAATTAAATATTATCGTAGAAATTTCAGAGTTGATTACAGAAGATATTTACTACATAGTTCACTTAGCAATCGATGCCAAATATAAAGCCAAATCGTTGAATTGTGTTTAGTGTTAAATTAATGAAACATTCTATCCCCATGACATTCCAAAGTTATTGTAGATAGATAATATCTAATTTGAACAAAATAATTGTCTATTATTAAAGTTTTAAATACTTAAGTAAGTGTTCAATTCTCCGAATAGTTAAAAGGCCTGAAATTGTACTTTTTAATTAAAATATTGTATGTATCTATTTAATATTGACATCATGAACATAAAAGAAACGTAGTAACGAATTTCGGCTTGATTTTATTTGCAAGTAAAGGATGCGCATAACTGTAAATGTATGTATTTTATATTGCTGTGATTTGCTTAAGTATGTATCTTTAGTATCTTAAATAAGGTATTTACAGAACTAAATTACTTGGGCATGCATAAAAGAAACGTTAGACGTATTATATGAAAACGTTGTATTTGACATCAGTTTTTTTTACAGAATAACAATTTTTACTATAAAATTTTGACCAATTTCAACAAGAGCACACACTTTCTCAGCATTCTGCCGTACACCTTTTTTCGTTCACTTGTAAATACTTATAAAATTATTTAACTCTGCGTAAAATAACGTAGTTTATAAGTTATCGCATATAATAATATATTATGTATGTATGTATGTAAAAGGGTTTAAAGGCGTATCTACTTTTGGAGTTAACGACACAACTTGAAAATCTTCAGTAAAATCTAAACCTACTTTGTAAGTGACACTTGTGAGAGTGTTTGTCCACTGATTTTAGGAAGTAACTAGGTTTTATACCGTCAACTTATAAGGCTCTAGTGTTAACGTTTTCCTTTAAATGGAGAATGAATGTGAAATAGAAATAGTGTTTTAAGAACGTGATAAAAGAGCGAGCGAGCCACAATTCTAAGGGTTGCTAAAATTTAAACATTTATTCTTCCGATAAATGAAAAGTAGCCACTGACTTTAACTCCAAAAGCACCTACACGCATAGGTATGTTAGCTGGAACTGATAAAGCACTATGTACGAGTAGATAAATACTATTAAGTATATTTTAAGTTATTGTCGTTGTTTAGAATAAGTTTAATTTAAAATATTGATGAAAACGAATCCTTAACACTACAAACTATGACAATATCTATGCAGGTACGTATTTTATCCAAAAAAATAACAATCATTTCTAATTTTTACATTCCAACTAACTAACGCCTAACAAGTTTTGGTCAATTTTAATTGCTTAAGTCCCAGTTTTGCCATGTTCTTGCAGGAAGACTGATTATTCTATTGTATATTTGTTTTCCTATATATCGCTTCTTTAGGTAAAATAGTTAGGTTTACCCTTTATATGAGCTGGAAAGGAACGATCTAAATCGTCAATCTTTGAGATTGATTGTACAAAAATGTGTACAGGAATTGTCTATCAATGCGTTCTTCAGCTCTTAAAACGTTAAGAAATTGTGTACCATTAAATATTACTTGCAAAGTTAGCTTAAGAAGCTTGGTATCACTAAAATTAAGGGATCTTTTAGGCCTCGATCAAAATGTGCTGCATATTCACCATCGTGGACAATAAACAGTCCCAGCATTTACATAAAATTTATACGTAGTTGAACAAAATGATTGTTTTATAAAATGTTTATTGCCGTTTGTATTTATATAATGTACACGTCTCTGGTTATTTCTACTGTGTACATACGTCATATTGTCGGCCAATGAGTTTCATATACACTAATTGTTACGTTAATTACACTGGTGTTTCTGCCTCTAATAAAATGGTTTATAAACATTTCTTTCGTTATTTTTATTTTGTGTCCCATGATTAACATTATTTCTCTCAAAGAAATGAGGATATGTTAGAAAAAAAAACTACAAAATCAATAACAAAACTACACTTTATTGACTGGAAAAATGTATTTACAATGGAAATGAAAATACAGTTTCATAAATCGAATTCTATAAAATAAACAATATAATAAAATTTTATAACAGACAATAAATAAATAAATAAAACTGAGACTATGAAAGACTATTTAACCAATCTCATGGCGAACATACACACGAAAGCTACCACAAAAATGCCTCCAGCAAAAAATATACCATAGAAAGTAGCATCATTCATGGATTCTGTGTTATCAGCAACTTCTGGCTCTGAGTCTGGAGCCTCCGTGGTAGTAGTTTCCTCAGATTCGACGGTTGTCGATACAAGAATAGGATCTGACCAGATCGATTCTCCGACCTCGTTTGTCACTCTCAAACGGATCCAATAGGCTGTTTCAGCTTCGAGTTCTTCTAATGGGATTATAATACCTGGAGAACAGTGTATTTTTATGGTTAATTCTTAACTGTTACAGGAATTTAAAATGTTGTAGTTTATGTTTTTTTATGGAATAGGAGGCAAACGAGCAGACGGATCACCTGATGGTAAGCGATCAGCGCCGCCCATGGACACCCGCAACACCAGAGAGCCACAGGTGCGTTGCCGGCCTTTTAAAAAGGAGTACCCTCTTTTCTTGAATGTTTGAAAATTTATAATTTATTTATATTAGGAAAACTAAAAATTACGTCCTTCTGTACAATGAATTTAAGCATCGTATAATGATGCCTAAGTTGGTTCAGCACATAGCTTATAATAAGATTAAAAACAGTTAACAATAATAACGGTTTAAGCTTTTATCAAATGAATAAGTTCTGAGGTTTGTAATATCTATGAAAGTACCTCCAACTTCAGGATCGATAGTTTCATCTTCTTCAAGTTTGACTTCAGTCTGTTTACTTTTTCTCCAGGTGGCTTCACGCGGTGGAAGGAACTTCTTTTTACCAGTTTCTTCTGTTGTATATTGAATTTGGAACGCTAAGAAATAAGAATAAATAATTGTTAATCCACAGGTCCGAAAAAAATTGGCAACTAGTGGCACTTAGCTCATTTCAATCTGAGTCATTTGGCTACCTTAAAATAGGCCTAAATAAAAAAGGTCAGACAAACTGGAAATGTTATTTGACATTTACACTCTGTCTATCTGTCAGTTACTTACCACTAACTGGAAAATGTATGTCATCATACCATGTCACATTCAAATACAGCGCGTCTGATGTTGCGTTAAATACATTGACCTGAAAACAAGTGAGTTGTTGGAATTTAACTAATTAACGGTACTGGACAGTACTGTTCATTATCCTCAATGAACTAGATTCTTCCACCTGTTATAAAACTTGAAAAACTTAAATATAAGTCTCAGCGTTAGCCCTCACACAAACTGGTTTAATCTAGTAAAGTAACAGTTAATAATAATCTGAGGTAATTATCAGAGCAAATCACATACTTGGTACAATTGGCTAAGATATTTTTCTAAGACTATTAAATTAATTACTAACTTCACTGGGCCTTTTCGGTTTCTCCATTTTCATTAAAGTGAAATATTTCTCTGAAACACCATAATCGTTGGTTGCTTGACATTTGTATCGTTGCCAAAATGTTGATTGGTTAGCCACAACGGTCAGTGTCGCCTTGGATCCATCATCTGATAGTTTTATTTGTTTTTGATCGAACTCGTATAAAACATCGTCTGTCAAATCTTTGAACCATCTGTAAGTGGCCGCTGGGTAGCTGTCTGCAGAGCATACTATGTCTACTCTGTAAGAAAATTAATCGAGAGTAAGGCTGTTAATTACAAAACTTGTCAAATATTGTACCTGAAGGAATCTTGTTGTCTGCTTTCCAAAGTATATAAATAGGTGATACGATTATTAAATTAACTAAAATCGCGGGTTACTCACGTGAATATACTGAGAAAAATGATATGATAATTATATTTATTGCCTCAGCCTCGTTGGCCGAGTGGTCGCAAGTGCGACTGCCGGGCTAGGGGTCTCGGGTTCGATTCCCGGGTCGGGCAAAGTATTACTGGGTTTTAAAAAAATTCTCAGTAGTAGCACGGAGTCTGGAATTGTGGCATATGGCAATAGGCTCACCCCCTATTACATGGGACTCATAACATAAATAGTGAAAAGTGGGTGTTACATTGTACAGTGGCATAATGTGCACCTCTGCCTACCCCCTCGGGGATAAAAGGCGTGATGTTTCTATGTTTCTAATTATATTTATCTATTTATAATTTCGTGTTACTTTTATGTTAAGTTGTTTAACAAGCTGAAATACTTACTCTTGATTATTCTTGCCGTAAACTGATTTAGTTTTGTTTCCATCTTCAAAAATAGGAGCATCTGAAAAAGGTACAATATCAAAGAGTTCTTGGTTCATCATAATTGCTTTCAACGTCATTACCAAGCTAAATACTCACAATTAACATTCAAAGTTATATTAAAATTGGTGGTATGACTACAGTCTTCAACATCTCCACTCTCCTGGATGCTTTGACAGGAATAAACGCCACTGTCCTCTGGCTCCAGCGAAATGATGGTGAGGAGACCTTCAAAACCCTGGATGTTGTACTTCGTCATCACTTTGTACTTCTCGGAATTATCTTCATCTATTGTAAAAATATAAGGTATATATGCAATATACTCCTATTAGTAATAAAAAAGTAGTAAAATATTTACGAGCAAAATGATTTATGACACCTTTTGTTTTAATTTCATGACAGATGAATTATCATTCGGATTATATCATTATTATTAATAACCTAAGAACAGTTATCATATAAGTTCTATTCTTTTCTATTCTAACTGTTGTTATTATTAAAATAACGTAGAACATCATTAACTTGTGGTAATTTCTTCTATTAATGCCTAATAACTCAAAACTTATAGTCTTAGAAATAGGTTTTTTTTCAGTTCATTGATTTGCCTACTTACTTACGTATCTATACACACATTGAAGTTCCTATATTAATATACTTCTTCATGTAAATAATTATATTTACATGCATAAATTACGATGTATAAATATCGTAATACCTATAAACAATACCCAACAAAGGTAAATAAACTATTCAAGGTTGAATTTAGAAAACCATTTAATTTCGTCTTAAGAATATATGCAGATTTGCAGAAACACTAATGTAATGTTTATATCGTATGCATCGGTTGACTAATGGAAAAAACACACGTTCGGTATTTTGCATAAGCAAAAACTGATTTCGAATCACTTTTTACAAATATAGGTTCTTGAAGGGCTCAATCAATTTTTTCGGTGCTATAAAAACATATAGGTAATACATGCATGTTTTTGAAGGTATATTAAGATTAAAAGAGAACAAACTTCGGTTGATCTAATTAAAAGAATTTAAAAGAAAAAATATCAAGTGCACGGTTGGTGCGGTGGCTGGGCGATCGACAGCCGCGCCAATCTGTGGATCACATAAAGTATTGTTCCGCGCGGGAATCGAACCCTCGACACGTTGTACGGCAGCCGGTTGTCCAGCCACCGCACCAACCCTGCAGTCAGTTAATGTTTTTAACTATAAAATAAAAAAAAGAAAATAATATACCATTAACAACTTCTCCGTTTCTGTACCACGTGATTCTGGGCTCAGGTTCTCCTTTCGCTTGACAGGACAGAGTAATGGAGCGACCCACGTCTGCACTTACTTCTGATATAGTGTCTACGAAGTACGATGGTGCTGTGGACAATGGGTAAAAGCAAATAAAACATAATTAAATTAAAACATTTGTATAGAAACATTATAATAGTAGACAAAATCATATGTCTACTCTAGTATATAATATATAATAGATGTGACTATAGTTGTTATTTTATTTATTGAACTAATACATCCATTCAATTATAATTCATCCATTACAGATGATTATATTCTAGCTGTACGATAGAGTAGCCATCAGTCTTACAGCATAAAAGTATGTATCAAGAAATACATGACTGGTTGTCTGGTAGAAATCACTATAAGTGATAAGACCGCCTTTGTGTCCATTATTATTTTTATTTATGTTTGTCATTTCTTTTTCTGTATATACTATATTAATGGACTGCCTCATTGGCCGAGTGGTCGCAAGTGTGACTGCCGGGCATGGGGTCTCGGGTTCGATTCCCAGGTCGGGCAAAGGGTTACTGGGTTTTTAAAAAAACTCGGTAGTAGCACGTAGTCTGTAAATGTGCCCGGGATAGGGCAATAGTCTCACCCCCTATTACATTTTACTCATGAGAGTATCGGGGACATGGGACTCATAACATAAATACTGAATAGTGAGTGTTACATTGAACAGTGGCATTAAGTGCTTTAATGTGTACCTCTGCCTACCTCTTCGGGGATTGAAAACGTGTTATGCTAACCGTTATGTGATGCGGAGAAATTCTTTTCTGTCTATAATTTTGTCTTAAGTTTATAATTATGTCTAACAGGAACACTTGTTAGTTAAAGGCCTTCTGATCACTATTAACTCCTCTGATGGTGATGAATGGAAACTGTTCAGTACTGAGTCCAAAAACGTCCGTTATGTCTGCAATTGCTCAAAAAACATGACTCTTCTTCGCATTGATTTTATACATATGTGATAATTCTAGGAACCACGTGAGTACGTATTTGAATAGCTTTTTTGTTACAGATTATAAGCATCCTTTATCCTTATAGTCACTTGTACTGAATTGAACTTCAATCTGTTTATTTTGCACTACCAAGTTTAGAAGTGGGCAACATCGTTTTAACTGTACTAACAATGCGTTTATTGGTTATACAAGCCAAAACATTCACAACAATAAGTAATGAATATACATATTTCGTAATAGTTTTATTTAAGCTATTCTATTAGCTGACTGCACGGTTGGCGCGGTGTTTGGGCAACTGGCTGCCACGCAAAGTGTCGCGGTTTCGATTCCCGCACGGAACAACTCTTTGTGTCATCCACAGATTGTTGTTCTGGGTCTGGGTTTCATGTGTATGTGAACTTGTATGTTTGTAAACGCAATCACAACACAAGAGATAATCCTAGAGTGGGGCAACGTTTAAAAAAAGATATCTAAAAGATAATATTTTTCAATGAACAACAAAAAGTTACTAATTTTCGCACTTAGTCACACTTTAAGTCCCTTATTATCTCTTGTACAGCGGAATTGACACGTCTTATAATCATAAAACATAAACGGTATACATAATAACAATAACACAAAACATAATATACGAAGGACATGTGGCTATTTTTACCTACATTAACTGTGGGAGTAAAATTCCATGCTATCGTTGCGGGAGATATTGTGTTCCATATGAGAGATCCTATAGAGTGCATAATCCACAATTAAACGTGCACATAATTTGGTAATCAAAAGTAACAGATGGTTGCACTATTCTACAGCGCTATTGAACGAAAACCAAACCCCACTTTTGTGACGTCAAGTTATACCCATATAGTAACTTGTTAATCCCCAATTATGAAAAATCCACAACATTTGTTTATACAAAAGTAGACTCTATATATCGGAAATAACGTATATAATGGAGTAAGTGGAGAGCGGTCACCGGTGACCGTTTGGGAACTTAGGTGCCTTGAAATAGAAACTGAGCTTAAAAATTACTTTTTCATCGCCTGAAACTGTAGTCAACATGAAAACGCATCCTCTTGGAAATAAATCTCTTGGGCTTAAACATTTAGCTAAATTGCCAAGCGAGCTTCATGATTACGAGATCACTTGCGACCATTCGACTACGAGTTACTTATACCGAATAACATATGAGGTACAGTTGTTTCGTAATTTCATAATTTCTGCCATGACATCCAAATCTAGTGATTTCCTCAAAATCTCCACAACAAACCTCGTTTCCTTCGAAAATGAACTCACCAATAACACACAAAGTGACATTCTTCACTAAATCCCCAGACTTGCACTGGTACACTCCAGTATCCTCCACTTCTGCCCTGGTGATGGTCAGCACGAGTGCCGGTGCTCTACCTCTCATGGCAGGAACAAAATGTTCCTGGGAAAATATTCGACTGCCCGGGATTCGTTTTACTGTATGTCCATTTGGGTCTATCCATTCTACCTGAAATAATGATAACATAGATTTATTGGACGACTAGTCACAAAAATAAGGAATATGTGAATCTGTTTTTTGCGAGCTTTAGTTTGATTTACTTTTTTAATTATAAATTGCTTTTTACAATTGTCTTTAATTACAAAATTGTGCTCAGTATATGATAGGGTCACTATCATAGGTCATATATCAACCAGCAAAAACCCCGGTCAGTTAGCGTAACTGTCCACGTTGCGTCATTTGACGAATGCATGCATTCTTCACGAATAAATAGGTGGCCATCAAAAGACAAATGCTTGCATATTGCTTAGAAACAATAAAAACTGTTTACGAAGCGACCTATCGTTTTTTCTTAAGGTATACAAGGTGTTGTTTTGAAGCCGCGTCATTTTCTAGGAAGTAACTCGGCTATCGATCCTGAGTCCGAATCAATAAAAAAAATGTAGATAAATATTTTTATTTTTCTGTAAATTAAGGAAATCCAATAAAACTCCAATAAGAAACATTGCTGTCGCTTATTCTGAAATACTGTCGAATTTAAATGATTTATTATAGACGTATTTTTAACTATTGGCCCGAAACTTTCTCTTACATTAAACCTTTATGACTTCTGTGATATGCTCCCGAGAAATGTCACGGTTTCAAAACTACACCTTGTATATCACTTTAATTTGTAGTACACCCCTGCCTACTATTTGAGTAATAATATTATATTATCACGCTACTAAGTATACACAAAACTATGCAGGTCAAATAATTGACACGTGTAGATTAATTAGATGCTGTAATGGGTAGCCTTCTGAACTAATTACATCAAATTGTCCACGAATTATAAAAATAACTTAATCCGTGGGTAAAAAGTTTTAACAATGTAATTCTGCGAACAATGTATGTAAGAACTGAGTCCGAATTTGTATTAAATCAGGGCTGGGTCTTACATGTATACATATTGTAGACACAACCCTAGTTATAGACTTTAAGAGGCATAAAATCTATCTCCTCTTGCCTTTTAGCTATGAAGCTACATTATAATAATATTATTCGGTTGAGACTTTATAAGCGTATAACGGTTTAAAACAAAATTATGTGCGCATAAAGGATTTTTCCGGTAGTGATGTCGAAAAATCTTTTTATTACTTCACTATTTCAAATGAACATTGAAGCAAAATTTTATTTTTCTATACCTAACAATCACACTTGATATTAATGTTTGAAATAATGTACCTATACTTACATTATTTCACAAATATTATTTATTAATTAAATTAAATAAAATCAACCTTTTGATTCCGATTCGATGCTTTACAGCTGATTGTTTTGTGTCCTCCAACTTTCAGAAAGTCGTCATCTCCATATGTGACTGGCTCCACCATCAAACTGTTTTCGACTGGTTTCAGACCATAAACTGTAAAAATATAAAATTAGTACAAGTCTTATTAAATAGTTCTTTTTTTATTGCAGCTAAAGAAAAAATATTAGGATCTTACTATGCTAAAGCGTTTGTTAACTAACAATAAGGTGGTTACACTTTTTTCCAAGATTAAAATTATTGAGCCACTACAAAAATTAAAACGACAGATCATGAAACAAATCTCTACATAAATATAATAAAAACGAAAATTATTTTTTACATATTAACTGCCCTAAAATAGCTTAAAAGAACAGAACTAGATTTTTCAAAATTTTACCATATTAGCCTTTAAATCTTTTCGTTCTTGTACTATTCATAACTGCTTAATAGACTTTTTAAAAATATACTTATTTTAGGTGCAATCAAAACTTATTTAAATAATAATGAATATCAATATTATAATAACCAATATCAATATTATAATAATGAAATAAAAAACAAGAAAAGTTTTATGTAAAATAATTTTAATAAAAATAAAATAAATTTCTTTACAAACCTGTCCTATACAGCATATACACAAAAACGATCACATAAAAAACCCACTTCATTTCGATTGCAAAAATTCGAAATTCAAATTAAAAAAATAACGAATTCAACCGTCACATTTACTTTTTTATTTTTTTAACAAATGTCTATCACACACATGAACTTTTTTTGTCGTGATGGCAGAGACGCGACCTGGATGAAAGTGCGGTCCTGGGTATGTCACACACATACGGATAAATTAATGAATAGGAACAATTAATTTGTTTTAATTAGCATCGTGGTACACAATGTCATCAGTGAGGAAGTCATACTTACCGGCGTTACCATGGAAAATTAAAAAGGTCACAATGTTGTGTTAAATATAAAATATCCTACTTAATGGTGGTTTATGGTCCAGTAGTTACAAGGAAGAACGTTAAAAAAAAGTCGGACATACACATAGACTCTTGACACAACGACTGGCGGCACCTGGCTACTATAGACTTACACGCAGAACATCAACACATTAACAAGATGGACATCTGTCAATTTCTTAAGTTTGGTAACGTGGGAACCCTACACACGCACACATAAATAAACCACTGACATTTTGGTTCCTCAATCCTTTCTAAGTGACATTATGTTTTTCAACGTTTTTGGTTACGGTTACAAGTATGCCTTCTTAGCTCAAATATTCATTCTTAAATTGACCAAATCAAATAAAAAATCAGAATAGGGTAGATGCCTAATTTTTATTTTAATATCCGTCTGGTAGATTTTTTTAAATCATTAGACACGTAGTTTTTATTTTCTTACAGAAACGAATACTTTCGAGGATATATTGATTTGAAAAGTCATACCCTTTTATCGTCCCAATTACTAAAATTGAAGAAATATTGATTACTAAATTGTTTCTGATTACATAATTAATTGTACCGCCTATGCGATTATTTGAATATTTTAAGCATAGTCTAGTATTAAAAAAATTATAAACAAGACTACAACAATTTTTCTAAGTGTAAGAAAGCCATGCTTCAGCGCGAATAGGCCAGCTTGACCGGAGTGATATCACGGCGTCACAGAAAACCGACGTGAAACATCGCTTACGTTGTGTTTCGTCGTGTGAGTGAGGTTACTGGAGGCCTAAATCGGGGAAGGGAGGGGTCCTTCCCTGAATCCTGAATAATCCTCAAATTCCCAATTCCAAAAGGCCGGTAACGCACTTGTAACGCCTCTACGGTTCCAGGTGTCCATCGGCGACGACGATTGCTTACCATCATGATGCGTCTGCTCGTTTACCGGGCTTACCCCATAAAAAAGTCATTAATACAACTAGAATTACTAATAAATAAATTGTTATTCGACCGTTTTACGTCCGGGTACAAAGTTTTATCAATTGTAGAAATACAATAAAATCAATAGTTATGACCTACAGGAAAACGCATAACAAATAAACAATTATTTATTTATTTAATTCTTTCTGTTAGTTCTTGTATATAAGAATTTTAATATTTATTCATTCTCTTATAGATTTATTCAAACAATACAGATCAGTGGCTGGGTCTTATTACCACTGCTCTTAATCACCAAAGCAGTTATGATATTAGATCGAGGAATTCGACTGCCTATGACCTTTAAGGCTACCGGAGCTCTGGTTTAAAGCAGGAGTAGTAACGGAGTGGTTTTTAGTCAGTAAGAGTCTGCCACTCCCTTTCGCTTTACCGAAGGTGCCTGCATTCATACCGTGCAGCGTGCTTCGGGTTCGATTCCCACACGGAACAACACTTTGTGTGGTCCACAAATTGTTGTTTAAGGTCTGGGAGTCATGTGTGTGAATTTGTATGTTTGTAAACGCAACCACGATACAAGAGAAACACCTTTTTTTTAAGGGGCGAAAATCATCGAATGGCTCCTCCCGCCTGGGTGAGGCGGGAGGGAGTGTCAGACTCTTACTGACTAAAAACCACCCCGTTCCTTCTCCTGCACGTCGAGGCGGAGCCCCGGTTACCCGTTAGGTTCTCCGCGAAAGGAGAAACCCCTAGAGTGGGACAATGTTTAAAAAAAACAGTAGGGGAGAAGTATTTGATGATTTTCCTCTCTCAAAATAAATGGTATGTGTTTTATTATCTTTAATTGGTTATATTGCTTTTAATAGTGTTATTATGGAGTCACACATTTGTGACTGTTACTCACTGAACCGTATCAACTCTTGCGTGCATTAATTACCTAAGAAATTACAATAGCACCGATCCTTAATTACCAATCAATTTATGCACGTAAGTAAGACGTCTGTATATTTCTTAACCAATCAGTATTCGATACTACATAAGTATAGATAAACGTACAACATGGCAATGCTGCCAGCCTTCTGGATACTTTCCCAGCTAAATCGATGGAGAAACATTTTTTGATGCTCTTTGTATATAGTTATTGTTAGTTTTTTTTTTTAAATTATTTATTTAAGTTAAATAAATAAAAACATTATGTAGTTAGGCCACAATCAGTCAGTAAGACATCTATAGATATTATATTTCTAGAAAATAATACTTTTATTTTCGAAAAAATATATTACTTTTTTAAATAGATACTTTCATTAGCAAAACCTTTCGGTTGTTGTAACTCAATTAAATCTGAGATACCTGAAATAAAAATTGTAATACGATAATCAATATACCTTTTTATAAAGCAATTGGTTTACCCTCTATTACATTGCTATGATTGGGTTTTTTTTATATTTATTCAAGTCATTGTTTTCAAAGTCGGTTAAAAAATTGGTGTCACACAGTAAATGTACAGAGTACCTAGTAATGTATCTTTAAACTATGCCTTCTAAGATTATCAAGCGTGAAATTAGGTAAAAATCGTAATGATAGATTGCAATACATACTTCTTTGTTACAATTGCACATGGAGTCTAGAACAATCTATGCGTTCACAGGTTATTGACACGGTGTCATCATAAATGTGACACAGTGTGGCTTGTGCTAAATTACAGCTACATTTCGCTTGACTAATTTATGCAACGCTATTGTACCAAGTAGGTGGACTATATTACATAGGCCGATAGGCTACAATCACATAGGTAATTGAAACTTATACGCATCATGTATGTTACGCCGAGGTGGTTCTGTTTGTCCAATAGTCAAATTTTAATAGATTACTTATGGTGAAATATGGATGATCACAGACTATAGAACCGGAGCTGCAGACAACCATAACGGGTTACCGGGACTTCGGTTCAAGCTAGGACTAGAAGTGGGGTGGTTTTTAGTTAGTAGGAGTCTGACACTCCCTCTCGTCTCACCCAGGGCGGTAGACGTCAGGGTTCTAAACTAAATACGACAGTCTAACGGACCGTAAAATTATCGCTATGTTAATATTTGAATTAAACACTTATGATAACAAAAAATCACTGCTATCAATAACAATAGTTACTACGACGTATATAAATATAACCATGAGCTATATAACATTTCCCGAACTTACACTACTCATCAATTATTAAAAACAAGTAAATCATAGTGACGTCACTGCGACTTTTTATCAGTATTATCGAAAGGTCTTTGTGATCTTCGACTTGTTAGGAATAACAATACTCCAACGTGACGTAGATACTTGTCAAACGTTGCCAAAGAAACAATATCAATGGAATAATAAATAGGTTTCCCACAACTCGTGACGTCGCTACTATTAAACAAAGAAATGTAGAATATGCAAGTACATTAACTTCGGAATACCCTGACGGTACATTTTGTGGATTTGCCTTGTTTAATCTGGCCTTTAGATAATCTGAGTTATACGAAGTATAGATTTGTGTATCTAAGTATATTTGTATAGGATTATGTATCACATCCCTCCCCAATCTCCCCAATCCCCGATTCCCCAATAATCCTCAAATGCCTAATCCCCAAAAGGCTGGTAACGCCCAACTGTCGATGGGCGACAATGATTACTTACCATCCATGATCCGTCTTCTCGATTAATGACTAATTCAATAAATAAATCAGCCCGAGTAATGCGCCTAGTGACAAAAATGCCACCAAAAATTATAAATTCACACCCGTGTAACGGTCAATAGGCATCATTTTGCCGCCAAACTATTGTTGCCAGATCTAAATTACTGATATCTATGTTCGATTTGCAAATTCATAATCAGTATTGCCAGTGCGTGCCAAGGTTAGTGTGGCGTGACGTGGGGTCGAATGAAGCGAGTTCAAAGCTCTTTATAACAATTTTGTCTAATTCTTAAATAGGGGCAAGGTCTGAATAATGGCCTTAGCTCAAACATAAACATTGTTTCTAAATTACTAGAAATACATTAAAAAGCTTTGACCTACTATTGTTATTTCACTATCACATAGGTACATAATTATGATTTTAAAACTTCTTGCAATTAATTCATGTCCATTTTCAATTGATGCAGTGTAGTTCGTTGGGAAGCATAAATAAGAAACAGTAATTTTGCAGTAATTAAACTCATGATTTTTTTAAGCGGAGAAAATCTACGAATGCCTTCTCCCGCCTGGGTGAGGCGAGAGGAAGTGTCAGACTCTTACTGACTAAAAACCACCCCGTTCCTTCTCCTGCACTTCGAGCCAGAGTCCCGGTAACTCGTTAGGTTCTCCGCGACAAACTCATGAATATGTGCTTTATTAGTACCTACTTGGTACTTAGTGCATTTGTACTTTTTTACTTACAAAATATTGTAAATAGTCAATTTTATTCTCTACAGAAGTGGATTTCCTGAATTAGACCTACACTACACAGGTATTTTTAATTCAGTAATTAATTTCAATTGCCGCATTGGCCGAGTGGTGGCACATACGAATGCAGGACATGGGTTGTCGGATTCGATTCAAAAAGTGGCTGTTACATTGTACAGTGGCATTAAGTACTATAATATGCACCTTTACCTATCCCTTCGGGGATAAAAGGCATGATTTTAATTAATTTCAATTTCAAATTAATGGTATTTCGTTTTTAGAATGCTTATAGTTTATAACCAATTAACTCAACCACAATAGCTAAATTACTAATAACATAAATGGCTAACTAGAATGTAACAAACGTAATATAGTTATGTT